GGGGGTGGGATGGGTGGAGAAAAGAGGTGGGGTGATGGGGGTGGGGCAGAGGATTTGGGCTGTGGGCTGGGATAAGTTAGGGGTTGGGATAAGCAGGGGTTTGGGGGCCTGAGGTGAATTGGAGCTGGATTTGGGGGTGGGGGCATTGGCTGTAACTGGCTGTGAGTCTGTTCACAGCGGGCTGGAGGGCTTATTTTGGTGGGGGAGGTGTCCATGTGGTTGCTCCCAGCCCCACTGAGAGAGGCAAGCTTTTCAGGCACCGGGAGACTGTCCTGATCCCTTTCTGCAAGCAGAGTTGTTTTTTCTGGGACTTGCCATCCCTTCTGGATACTAGGCTCCTCCGAGCACCTGAGACGAAGACAGCCATGCATGGGATTTAATTTCTCCTTTCTCAATTTTTTTGAATCTTTTTTTCATCTCTAGAAAAGGACAAAGGCGAAGAAGAGACCTGGTGAGAGACTTGATTTTCTTTGTATCCCCCTGGTTTAGTGACCTCTCCACTGCCTAGGGTCTTCCTTCTCCTCAACACCTCTAACTTTATGTAACTCAGTGAACCACATTTTATTTTGGCTTCTGATGAGCAGCCAGTCACTGGCTTTATGTCTCCTTTGCCTTTCTCCCCAGAGATGAGCTGGGATTTGTATGTGTGGATTGTTTAATCTCTTTGTATATTCTCATTTGTTTCATGATTTTAAAAACACAGGAAGAGAGAGCAAGAGAGAGAGCAGGGCACCTGGTGGGATGTGGGAAGAGGTTGGTTTTATCCCTGACATAGAGATCTCCATCAACTCTTTCTCCCTTTCTCATTTGCCTTTTACTACTCTTAATTACAAAACTTTCTAAGGGGCTTTTTCCCTGGCTTCTGAAGACGGAGATTAGGTTAAGACTTTGTGTTATTGGCAAGTCCTCTGGCATCTGTCAAACTTTTGTTTTAATAAATTGTTGCGATTTAAAATGAGTTCTGCGTTACTGATGGATGCTGGATTGACAGTTCCCCAGGGATTGACATTCAGAATGACTTCCCAGCACAGCTAGACCACCAGCAACAGCCATGCTATCTCCTTTCACTAGCACAGCCAACTTCTCTCCAGGCCCAAGATCACTTCTAAGGAGGAGGGGGTGGAGAGTTAAAATCAATATCTGAACTGGTCTTCTGTGATGAGACTCCTAGGGTTGGGGCTTGGTAGACCAAATCTGCACCCTGTAATTTACTATTTCTTGTGGCACTGTGTTATGATGTACTAGTGCCCTGGTTATTGTACAATAGCTTGTCTTTGCATTTCAGAGGAAAAAACTGTTTCTGACTGTTGTTAGACTATGCTCAAGCCACGTAAATTGCTTATAATAAACTTTTGAAAACACTGGTGGTAGCAGTGGCGGAAGTGATAGCATAAACAGGGCACTGACACTTTAACCACTGTGGTGTTGGATCTTGCTCATGGATCACAGATATTACCCAGTAGTGAAAACACCAGTTGCTGCTTCAGCTCTTCTTGTGCTATCACTCCTGTTACTACCAACCGTGGGAAATTTTCTCCAAACAGTCTAGGAAAGACAAGTGCATAAAATCCAGCTCCATAATGTAGTTATTACACAGCTTTATCCTGTCCATATAGAACAAAATCAAACAGTATTGTATCAGAGCACTTCCATGTGGTGATAGTTACAGTGAGGCAAATTCTGAGCTATCTGATGTGTCCATGCTGGAGTTGATCAAGCTATTGTAAGTTTGTTGAAATATTGTTAGAAAGGTTTCTGCACATCTTCCCTGACAAGAGTCACTGTGGCTTTTTGTTGTTGTATGATAGGGGGCAGTTGCAGAGAAGCACTTTCCAAACTATCCAGAGGAAGAGTCTGGCATGGATTTAGGTGACATGCTTCTCAGACTCTCATCTGATTCTTCAGGAAAACTATGCTACAATCCTGTTGCTACCACATGAGTTTAAGTATACATTTGAAGCCAGCATGGTTCTGGTCCCAAAGCAGAATTGCTTTATGGTGAGTCAATTCAGGGAGATGACTCCACATCAGAGAATACCAACTCACTTTACCATTTTCTGGTGTTTGATGGTCTAGGTGATTACTCCGGTTTAAGGATGAAATTATAAAGCCAAGGAGTTAAAGGAGAACATAAAAAATGGAAATCCTGGGTCAGGCTATTGGCCCGTTTAGCGCGGTATCTTGCCTTCTGACTGGCCAGTGCCAGCTCCTTCAGAAGAAATAAAGAAAAAGTCATTTTCAGGTTATCCATCCCTTGTTACCCAGTTCCTACTTCTGGCAGTTGGAGCATGGGGTTGTATCCCTGACCATCTTGGCTAATGACCATTGATGGACTTAGCTTCCATTACATTTTCTAATTCTCTTCTGAATGTGGTTATAATTTTGGCCTTCACAATATTGCCTGGCAATAAGTTCCGCAGGTGGTTCTGTGCTTCCTTCTGTTTTTAATCTGCTGCCTATTAATTTTATCAAGTCACCTCTAGTTCTTGTGTTATGGGAAGTGGTAAATATCACTGTCTCGTTCACTTTCTCTGCATCTTTATAGTTCCTGAGTATAGCCACATTTTGTCATCTCTTTTCTAAGATGAGCTGTGCTAGTCATTTTTTTTAATGTCTCCTTGTATGTAATGTGTTCCATACCTAATAATTTTTGTTGCCCTTCTCTGTACTTTTTTCCAGTTCTAATAGTTTTTTGGGATATGGTGACCACAACTGTATGTCGTATTAAAGGTGTGGCTATATCATGGATTATATAGTGGTGTTATATTTTCTGTCCTATTATATAACCCTTTTATAATAGTTCCTAGCTTGTTAGCTTTTTTGATTGCCTCTGCACACTGAGAGGATGTTTTAGAGTACTATCAGATTTTGACATCATCATCATTCTTGAATAGTAATTGAACAGCTAATTTACACCCCGTCATTTTGTATGTATAGTTCAGGTGATTTTCTGACATTTATTCCTTTGTACTTATCAATGCTAAATTTTATTTCCCATTTTGTTGCCCAGTCACCCAGTTCAGTGAGAGCCCTTTGGAGGAGCTAGCCAATTGCTGTTCTGTGGCCTTGGTGCATAGTATTGCACAATGTTACAGAATCTTTCACTTATGAGTGAAGGCTTAATGGAGAGTTTCTAATATCTGTGTGCAATTTTTCACTATTTCATTCTGGTTTCTAAGGAGGACGAGGAGGAAGACAGTAGCCCTGGAGTATCCTTCTCACTCTCTTCAGAAGAGTCAGAGATGGAGCCTGAGGAAGAGAGAATCCGCTACAGCCAAAGATTGGTCAGTATTCGCTTTTACTCATCGAGCTCTCACTCTTAGGCTTTGTCTACACTGTTAGTTAAATGATAAAACTTTTGTTATTGACAGATGCTTAAATCCCCCTCCTCCAAAAGACAGAAGTTTTTCTGCAGCAAGTGGCAGTGTAGACAGGAGAGCGCTCCTGCTTACAGTGCAAACCCCCAGTTGTGGGGGTGGAAGTATTTTGTTCACAAAAGTGCTGACAAACAGCGTTTACATTGCCTGACTTTTAGTGACTTGGCCTTAGTATCTTCGCCTTTCAACTTGCTGTCCTGAAAAAAAAAATCTCCCTGGCTTTATAGTAGGAACAAGCTTGTTACCACCCCATATACCCATGAGACTAAAATCTCCAGCTTTCCCACTGAGACATATAAATACTGAAGTGGGCAGTCAACCAGATGATTTGATGCTTCTAGTTCTCATCAAACAAGTGTTTCTTATTGTAGGGGAACACTATATCTAGGGTTGTTACCAGCCCAACACATGGCTACTTAAGCTTCAAACAGTAACAAAGTCCAGGAATATGCTTTTTGACATAAACTGGTATAGTTGTTACTTGGGATGAAACAGACATCTCCTGGTACTTGCAGCAGATGGGGAGAGGAAGAATTGGAAAGCTGTGTATGTTAAACTGGGGTGGCTTTCTTTTGGCATTATATTGACCCAGATCTGACTTGAGGATATTTTTGAACTTGGGACGGATGGTGTATATTTAAAACATTACAGTGGCACAGTTACACCACTGTAGTATTTCATTGTAGACACCCTCTACACAACAGGAGATATTTTTACCATCACTCTAGTTCTCTACCTCCATGAGTTTACAGAAGAATTCTTCTGTCAACTTAGCATTGTTTACACTGGGCCTTCACATTGCTATATCCGTCAAGGTTATGAGAGATTCTGTAGCTATACCGAAAGAAAATGGGCTTCATACTGAAGCTAGTTGGACTGGCTGTGTGCGCATCTGTCTTATATTTGTATTCATGCTCTAGAGGCCATGTCTACACTAAATTTAGGACAATATAATTGTATTGCTCAGAGGTATGAATAACCTACTGTTGAGTGCCAGCGAAATTGATCTCACCTTCAGTGTTGATGGGAGAATTCTCCCACAACATAGCTCCCATCTCCTGGAAAGGTGGAGTACCTATGTTGACGGGGGAATCCGTTCCGTCAGCATAGATAGCATCTTCACTGTAATGCAGATGCTACAGTAGTGCAGAGGCACTACTGTAGCATTTTAAGAGTAAACCTTTCCTCAAAAGTCTGAGATTGTATTATCAATGGCTGTGTCTCGAACACAGTTCCTACCAAGGGAAAAGAAAATGAACTGGTATTCACTTTAATTCCCACTACTTGGAGAAATCATGCTAAACAGTATGGTCAGCTTGGTTTCTGAGGCTTGTGACTACTGCAAATAAATTTTTATCCATTATCACTTTGAAATACAATCATTTGGCATGAAGTCTAGTGAAGTGGTGCACTGATCTCTAGGATTAGATTTCCCAGAGAGGTGGAGAGGTCAGTTTGCTTATTGTTGTAGTCAGTTGCTACTTCTGTGCTTTAACAGCTTACAGAGAGCGTACTGCTGAGTTGTAACTACCGCTCACCTTGGAAGGGTGAAGTAACAGTTGTAATCTCTTGAGTAACTGGTTTCATTCCCACTAAAGAATTTGTTCCTTAGAGGAAGGGGAAGTTAGTAGGACCATATTTCATCTTGACTTAAAGCTCTAGTTTGAGGACTGTGTATGGCAAGGATAGTATCTGCTACATCTTAAATTTTGTGGCTACAATCTTCAGGATAATTATCTGGCGCAAAAAACATCTTAGTAAAAGACAGATTCTTTAGACTTCCAATCCCTTAAGGCTTCTGTGGGAAATTCTGAAGTAATGTCTACAGGCTATGTAGATAGGCCATTGTTTGCCAACTGTGTCTGTTAAAATGGCTATAGTCATATCAAACTTAAAATTACTAAGAACTATGGGCTTTGTGCCTTTAGCTGGAGTAGTGTTGGTGGTTTAGCTCCAACAGTATGTTAAGAGCTGAATAAACAGCAGTGGAAGCTCAGAGCAGAGGAGAAGGAGCATGGTTGTGGAGTAAAGCAGGAGATTGAGTCATAGCTCAGTTCTTTACCTGGCTTTACCAGTCTTCCTGTGGCCTTGGGGTAAGTCACTAAAAGCACACCAACAACACAAAATAGCTAGATGTGCAAAAATCTTAGTGTAGATGCAGCTATACCAGCAAAAAAGTCTTTTGCCCCATAGCTATTTCTGTTAGAGTAACTGACATAAGTAAAAAGAGTTCTGCTGGCATAAGTTGTCCTCATTGTAGCAGGCAGCTTGTGTAACTCTACTAGTATATCTATACTGGCAAACCCTTTGTCTCATCTGTGTCATATAGGGGCCGTTACGTTTAATTTATTAATGTTTTGTAAATGTATGCTGCTTTCTTCTGTGTAGTGACTTTCAGTTTACCACACCACCACCTTCTTCGGGCTAACCTGCTAGCCCCTTTCTAATGTCCTGTGCTAAAAACTGTCAGTGGCTAGGAGTCAAATCCTAACAGATCTTTAAGTGCCAGCATTAGCCATTTAACATCTACTTGAGGTGATTGGACTGGATAAATAGTTCCAGCCTACGGTTCTGAAACTGGGGTCATGATCCCTCAGTGGCTCACAAGGTTATTACTGGAGATTGCAACCTGTCAGGCCTAAGGATGTTAAATATCAGTTAACTGAATAGTCAATTAACCTCATGAATTCTTATCAGTTACTTGACTATTCTGTACTTCCTGAGGGTGAGGCCAGCAACCAGTGCACTCCAGCCCCACTCCCGAGGAGCCCCCTGCTACTCCATGCTGCTGCCTCTGTATCAGAGGCAGTAGCGTAGGGTGTCAGGAACTGGTCTGCGAGGGGAGCCAGTTTAAAAACCAGTTCCCCTTGTGGACCAGCTGCCTGTGGTCCTGCACTGTTGCCTCTGAGATAGAGGCAGCAGTGCAGTGTGGCAGCATCCCCTGTTCAAAGAGGGGTGTGAGCTCCCTGATCCAGCTTGAGCCAGAACTGAGCCGGGCTGCCTGCCCACAAGGCTGCTAATATACTTTAAATGCAGAGCCACAGTGGGGGTAGGTCCCGGACCTGGCACAAGCCAGGACTGAGATGGGCTGCTGGCCAGCCTGCTAAAAAATGTATTGGTGAGGGAGGGGGAATGTGTGTTGCCTATAGCATTAACTTACAAGCTTTTGCTTATCGGTTAATTGACTACACTATAGCATCCCTAGTCAGGCCCCATGTATGCCAAGGCTCTGGTTGTCAGCCATGGATGGGGCTGACCGTTCAAGCTCTTCAGAGCTGTGTGGCCAGATTGCAGCAGCTGCTGGCCAGATGCCCAGCTTTAAAGGAAGCTTGGCCCTCAGCAGCAGTGCAGAAGTAAGGTTGGCATGATTTTGAAGAATCACTCTTTTGGGGGGGGGGGTTTGCAGGTTATCATAGCCTGAAATATTTTCAAGGGGGTTCTCAGCCATTCTTTTGGGCTGCTGCAAACTCAAGACTATATTATCAGCTAACTTTTCAAAGCCAAAATGTAATCATGGTTGCAAAGAAGGCTAGAAACTTCTAAATGCAAGCTTTGATTCTAAGGAGTCTGAGGGCATGGCTGCACTACTGTAGCAGAATGCTACACTGACGCTGTTTCTGTAGTTAATCCACTTCTCCAAGAAGTAGTAGCTAGGTCGATGGAAGAATGTTTCTTTAACACAGCTGTGTGTATAGTGAGGGTAGGTTGACCTAGCTACTTTGCAAAGTGCATGCAGTTTTTCATAATCCTGAGAGAATAATCAAGTCCCTCTAATTTTTAGATGCAATCAGACAAGAATGTATTTGAGTGAGCACATGACATCAAGTCTGTGTGGGTCACGCAGTTGCCCGCAGAAATTTACTTATTCCTTCCACACTTTAGGGACACCCACCCTTACCCAATTCTTAGGGCTCAGGGCATAACTTCCTGCTGGTATGCAGGATCCTTTGCCACCGAAAGAGCCTTACACAGTAATAGTCTCAATTTATTGACAGTTACCAAGCAAGCAGAATATACATGCTAAACATACATTCACCATATTTGCTACATTTAGTTGACCACAATAGGAACTAGGGATGTGAAATGTCAACCAGTAACCATCACCCTTAATGCACTGCAGGGTGTCTGGAGCAGCCCCTGGCCATGGTCTGTGTGCATTCACAGGTAATGACTGCTCTGGCCATCTGGAGCAGCCCTTGTCCATGGCAGACTTACATGCGTTGCAGGCAGGGGCTGCTGCCCCCCGCTAATTGGTTAACTGGTTAAACATCCTGGTTAACCGGTTAAATGGTATTTGCTATTTCTAATAGGGACTGAACTTCCCACTTGGCACCTGCCAGGCTGTTTTGGTAGGAATGGCAGTGTGAGTAAGGAGTATGCACTGCAGGTGTCTAGGCTATACCTTTGGAGAATGAATTGAGAACTTCAGTCTCCTGGGACAGTCAGTCCAGGACTTCTCACACTCAGACACTACTTAATTCCCTTTTCATGCAGACATGTTCAGATGGACTTTGTACAGAGTACATGAGTTTTTAAGGCTTTCCAGTAAGTCATCAGGGTATTTTGAAGAGTTTGTTTTGTCTTACTGCATCAGAATACTGGGTTAGCTTCTCGAGGATCATATCTTCAGCCGCAGCCAGTATCAAATGCTTTAGCTGGAAGTGAAAACTCTTCCCGTATTGCACTTGACCACTTCTAGAGTGTTGTACAAGAGGCAGAGTTCTCTTTTACTCCTATGATCATCTCGCTGCCTGAGCCATAGGACTTCATTACCCTTTCATCACTATCTGAGTTCCACAGGGCCACAAATGTGTTTAGTTATCATGTTGTGTCATCCCAGTACTGTACTTGTCTCCATGGTTCCTTCTGATAGTGAGTTCTACAGTCTACCCTGGAAAGAGATGATT